ATAATAGAATTGTTATATTTTGAACTTTTATCATTAAAATTGCAGATTGTGTGTAATCTATTAAGAAAATAAATGCTATGTGAGTAAATAAACAGGAATCAAAAGTTAAAGCGCCCGGTGCCAATGTAATTTTGATATTTTTTTTTAGGTAACTAATAGAGTGTAATATTCTTTAGGCTGCATCAAACTCAGTTTTTAAATATTTTAATCTCAAACTTTATAATATTTTTTCAAAAATAATACGATTTCATGCGTTTTTTATATATTATATTATTATACTTTTATTTTATTTTAAATAAAAATAAAAATCGGAATTTTATGCGGCTTGTAGGAAGTCTTCTTTTAAATAAAAAAAAATAGTTATCAAAATCAGACAATTCTACAAGGCCTGAAAGTTATTCCCATGAAGTAATTTTTTTTGTTATACCTAATAGTTTTTTGTAGATTAGTAGAAAAGTATTATAATTAAGGTGGCACTAGAATATAAAAGTTTATTGAACTTCGGAAAATATGAAAAACTGGCACCGGGCCCCTTAAAAGGAATTACAAAGCAGTAATACTTTTGAAGGGTTTTTTTTTTAGATTCTGAGCGATTGTGGCCGCCGCAACTTAACAATAATATTTTAAGTATCACTGGTCACGGAGGAACAGCTGGACACTAGAGGTGGGAATTTCAACTCATTTTGATGAATCAGCTCCTGTGAATCAGTTCATTTAAATGAACCGAATCATCAAATTAACTCTCAACTATCAGTGGGAAATCAGTGTCACGCTCGGGACCATAGGAATACATATTGCGGTATCTATTTGTGTTATATTTAATGTCGAAATTATTTTATTATTTTTATTTTCATTTTAATTTTTAACACTGAAATGGACATATACTATAAGTACTTAAACCACGGACGCTCGTGACTTATAGTAACGTATATTTAAATTAATTATGAAAATTGTAGTTTTAAAGTATTGTGATTATTCAACATAGGTACATGTTGAATAAAATAATTTAAAATTGAACTATAGATTTACAAAATGATGTGCACACAATATTATGCTACCTCTTAGTACCTAATGTAATAATATTTTATGAGTTGAATATTATGTATGTACCTACTATATGTATTGAAATAAAAAATATGATTATAAAATAACAGTTGTTTGTATTATTATTATAATTATTACTTATTGAGGAGTTCTGGACAAATTAATCTAAAAATAACTATCATCCTATATGATGGTTCTTATAGTAGACATTTGCATAACACAAAATGATTTGATAATCATTATGTATTAAACATATTTAATTGAATCATTCAATTCAATTAAAAGTGTATAAAGTATTTTCTAAGCTTCTTTAGAAGTCTGCATAGAAAAAAAGTGTAAAATTGTAAAATGAGTAAGACTATACTCTATTCAGAATAACCTTGCCCACTCGGCCGACGAAAACTCGTCTGGTTCGCGCATGTCTGTTGCCACGGTGAGCGCTCATGTTTACCGTGCTGCCGCCGCCGACGCGCCGCAGGCGTATACGTAGACACGTAGTGAACAATAATATCACACGTTTTCAGTACCACAAGTGCATAGATAAAGGAAAGATAGATGCCCGACTCGAAATAAATTTTAGTCTCCTTACGTGGCTCCCTCTGACGACAATTGTTTGTAACTACATAAACTGATGAGTAAAAACTGATAGAAATTTAAAAATTAAAAATCAGACTAATTTTTATAAATAATATTAACTAATGTTTTACTTTAATTTAATATTATAATGTTACCTTAAGTTACAGTGCTAAATACTAATACAATAAGTTAAATAATTAATATTGAATATTAATACCAATTACCAAAACCAAACTATTATATAAGTGAATGGACCGATTACATAACAGGGATGTACTAAAATGCAGACCCGCAGGCCGCAGACCTGCACACCCGCAGACCCATACGCACAAGTGTACAACGCACTATTTACATGCTGCAGACCATGATAAAGAAAATTGTCCTTATCGTGGTGCAGACTGTGTATTGGATAAGAAAGTCCAGTGGTTTCCAAATCAAATTTCGATTTCTCATACGATCACATTATTTGTCAAATATTTGATGTACGTCAAACTTCAAATATTTGTTTGAAAAATGGTTCACACCATCAAATATTATATCAAAATTACTTAAGTCTAAACTCGTGGAACAATTGCAGTTTAGCTACCAAGAGATTTTTTCAAATTTTTTTTTCGAAACCTAGGTAAATCAACGTTTTAAAAATGATGGTGCCAAAAAAAAATTGCGCAAACTCTTAGTTTTTGAGTTATAACTGTTAGAAATTCAAAAACTCCCAAATTTTGAATTTTGAATTTTTTTTTGTGGTAGACTTATGTATTTTGACTATTTAAAAACGATGGTGCAATCAGAATTTGTCGATCGAATTTAGTTTGAAAGTTATAGCGGTTTTAAGTTATGAAAGTTAAAAGTTGCAGTGATCACGAGTGTATTGGCACTCGTCGCTACGCTCCTCGGCGCCGTCGCTCCGCTCCGCAAATCGAAAATATCCCCCGATTTGTTGTGTAAAACCACCTCAGGTGAACCTCGGAATTAAACAAAGTTGTTTTTTGCCAATTCCAGAAACATTTATATTTACGATATTTGGATTCAGAGAAATTATATATCTGAAAAATATAACCGGAGCAGGTAAGGCGCAACTACCTCACTTGGCGCCTTGGTTCAACAAAAAAAAATTTTCTTTAAAAATCCAAAATTTTTAACTTAAAACCGCTATAACTTTCAAACTCAATTCGATCGACAAATTCTGATTGCACCATCGTTTTTAAATAGTCAAAATACATAAGTCTACCACAAAAAAAATTCAAAATTCAAAATGCAATATTTGGGAATTTTTGAATTTCTAACAGTTATAACTCAAAAACTAAGAGTTTGCGCAATTTTTTTTTGGCACCATCATTTTTAAAACGTTGATTTACCTAGGTTTCGAAAAAAAAATTTGAAAAAATCTCGTGGTAGCTAAACTGCAATTATACCGGCACTTTTAACTTTGAAAAACTTTATCACCTATATCACCTATATCAATTTCAATATACTCCAAATAGTTCACAAAATTTAATATATCATCCATACTAACGACTAGACACGCTAATTTAAACTTTAAATACTTGGTAAAGACAAATTTAATAATATTGAAAATTGTTAAGTGGTTGGTAGTTGGTACTTAATTGTTGTAGCATTGCGATAAGCTGAACACAAATGTATCACATGTTGCGTCCCAACTGACGTCGATATATACATCAACGTGGAAATGAATACTTGATGCACTTGGTTATTATGAGTATTTATTTAAGTACAAAATTACAATGTATAAAGCTTATGTAGAGAGGTGAGCGGTGTTACGACCTGACTCTGAATTGTTACTAAGATTTTGAGTGGTGTTACGACCTGCCTCCAAAATGATACTAAGACTGTGAGTGGTTTTACGACCTGCCTCCAAGTGTCTTGAGTATCCCTAACCGTCTGACGAGCTCTTGTCCTGGGCTGGTATTTATATGATCGAGTCCTTTGGAGTGGGTGGTCATAGTAGTGGCAAAATTCGGTCATGAGACAGAGTCCTGGTCTCGTACTTGGTATGCTGGTCGACTCGTATCCTTCGTATGAATGTTTGACTTTCCTAGAGAGATACTTTTACAGTGTCCCTAACGTGTTATAATATACTAATTGCCTTATTAATTATATCGTCGAGTACTATTAGAAACCTGCGCTACGTCGTACATTGTTATTACTTAATTAGGTACTAAATACGTAGGTACGTAACACACATAAGGTTTATGTGGTGGAAATCGACCACATAACTTTATGTGTCCATTAATAATCGAATCCTCCCATAAAAATGACTATGCAACGTGATATTGTTATCAATCACATAAATAACAAATACATAAGTACTATGGGTCACATAAATTGACTGTGCATACGGGCATAATATATACAGGACTGGACACAAAGCCATATCACCCGGTCAGACATCCGTCCGTGGACTCGTTTTTTTTACGGGGACGAAAACGAAACGGCGGGGGCGAAACGTCCGGGATTCGAATTACATGGCAAACAAAATTTAATAAAAAAATATAATAAAAAAGTTCCGAAGTTATATTTATAAATTATATGAAAAATGTTAAACAATATAACAACAATTCTAAAAATGTATTTCCTTTCACGGTAGTATAAAAATCTGATTTTTAAACGAAGTTTAAAGTGGGATAATATATATTATAATATATAATATATTATATATATTATATATTATTATTTATTATTATATTATTCATCTAGGCCTAAGGCTTATAAGCCCTAAGCTATCTATATGTATTATATGTACATCTGATAAACCGGTTTAAGCAAATAAAACGGTTTTAAATCCTTAAACTACATAGTGCGAGCGTTTTAACTTTCAAAACGGTTTAGTCCTAAACCCTTTTAACGCCATAATATAAACGTAGTATATTTGTATATCGCTTTGGTAGGTACTTCAAACCATCTATTATTACATCTATTATTAATATAATATAAAGCTAACTACAAGAATATACATATATTGTTACATTATTTTGAGGTATGAACTTGACAATATAAATATTTTCAATTTTGTTGACTATGATATAAATAACACATAAATATATAATGAAATATCATATTATGTAATACAATAAAATATAAAAATTATTTTTATGCTATATTTTTAGGTAGCAGTTATAATGCAGAACATTAGAAATAACACATTATAACTAGTTCAATATAGTATATTAATAATACTAAAAAAATTTAAGAAAAGAATAAAAAATAGTGTGATTAGGTACTTAAGAAATCTGTTTTAATTAAAAAAGTTATACCTTCTTGGTATTTGATAGCTGAAAACTTGAAACTAATCAATTTTTTAGTATTTTACAATTATTTGTTTTAATAGTTTGAAATTTAAAAAAATACGTATGACAAACACATTACACTCTACAGGATGGGCAAATGTATGAATTTTCCGTTATATCGCAAACATCAAGCCCCATACACTGTATATGAAACCAATGATGCCCTGTTTTGCAATACACCCATTCAATTGTTGTTGAGGAATCTTGATTTTGGTTCTGTGGATCTGGGCATCCACTTTTATCACAATATGATATATCTGTCCAGTAATTATTGGCAATATTTGTTAAATAATCCATTGGATCTGTATTACCAGGAAGCGCATAACATGTCATTTGAGTGGAAATGTTAACACTACATTTATAAGGAAACATTTTCAGCTTTGTTTTATCAAATTTATAAGCAATAGGTGGTTCTGAATCTTTTCTCATGTAATCGAGTATTTTATTTTTTATGATGTTTTTGTAAACAGGTAAATTGCATTGCAAGTGGTATTGGTGATGGTTATTATTTTTTTTAATTATTGTCTCTCCAAATAAACAAGCGTATACACCACAGTCATAGCCATTAAATTATTGGAATACCTTTGGTCCGTAGATGGTAAACCGTTTTTCATCAAAATCCTTACCAAAAAAATTATAATACAATTTAAATAATTTTATAGTGAATTTTATATCATCACGATTAACTGAATTTAAATTACTGTCAAGAAACATGATATTATACAATTTTGTGAAAACAACAATAAGATAGCAGTGATTGAACTTGCAAACAGGTAATAAAACTATGTCATACTCAGGCACACGATATGTTAAAAATTCTCTCATTCCGACTTTTAACATAGCCATGTTTGCTGTTTCAGATTCATTATAGTGGCTTAAAATCATGTCATCACATGTAAAGAATGTAACAGATTTGTCGGTATTGTTTTCTTCGTGGCATAATATTGACAAATAAACCCCAATGACTGTACCATATAAATATAATTCAGTAGAATCTTTAACACTATCTTTTGTATGATACAATGGCTCAAGATGTTTCTTATTAACATACCCACCGCAGACTTTAAATGTTTGCAGTTTGTTATACTTCATCTCAAATGTATCTTGCTGTGTATCGTGTAATTTATTATTTATTGAAAAAGATGGTACTTCTGTGAGTGATTACTGATAACAAATTTTGAATTATCGATTTGCAATTTGTATATTTTGTAACTGCGACAAGCCGACAACTACTGAACTACGCTCGTCGCTCATACGTGTTTACAGTCTGTCGTCATCTGCATCATTTTATATAGTTTAATTTTATATAGTATATTTATAGGTACCATTTTGCCATGTCTGTTGTGGTTAAAACGTGTTCAAAATGCCAAAGGTTGTATCCTCATTTCGTCCACGATTGTAATGTACAAGTATGTATCATGTTAAGAGTACAGTATAATAATTACATTTTCAAATAAAATATTGAAGTTAAATTTAAATAATATGTTTTTAAACAGCCTTATGTAGGTAACTATTCAGTTAACAGACCTACTTTAAATCATAATACCATTATTATTATACTGTTTATAATTATAATTCAATATTTCTATTATTAAATTACATTTTTTAATATTTATAGATAGGTACTTCATTGGTACCTAGCACATCACAATCGCCGGATCGAGTGAGGACATATTAGGCCAAAGACTACGGAAATAGATGGTGACACAGTTAGGAATGAAGCTTTATATTCTTCCATTATTGGGGCAGTGCTTAAACATCCTGCTTTGTGGGACCATCGTCTACCTTTAAAGGACCGGACTGAAATTAAAAAAAGAAAATTATGGGAATTGGTCCATTTGGAGTGTGGAGGTTTGGTCCAATCTATTATCAAGCTATTTTGTATTATAATTGAATAATGGTTTGTATTTATATGTTCTTTTGCGTGTTTGTTGGGGTTTTTTTTTTGTCTTAGGTAATTATGATGTAACATCTATTATGAATAAGTGAAAATATTTGAGGGATAGGTATACTAGAGAAAAAAAAAGTTACAAACGTCCATCTGGTAGTGGCAGTACACCATTGAAAGTATGGGAGCATTTTGAGGAACTCAAGTTTCTCGAGGACATTGTAGCTGTTGAACCAACGTAAGTAATTTACCTTGTTTTTATTTTCATTAGTAAATTATATTAAATGTAAATTACAGCAAACATTCAATACTACATACTATATATGATAAGAATGAAATACCAACTTTAAAAATATGAATTTTTATTTTGTTATTTTTCATGATACATATATTTTTTTTAGTACTTCTTCAAACTTGTCACTTGAAATGGACAAAAGTAGTCCAACCATTTCAAATGCTTCGTCATCAAGAAAAAGTAAAATGTTTATGTTATTTGTAGATAGATGATTTATGTCGTTATTATAATTACAATTGCTATAAATGCCTATAATTATGACATATCTATCTTATTTTAATTTATTGGTCATTATATTATTACTTAAATATCTTTATAAATCAATACTAATTGTTGTATATTAAAATGAAAAAATAATATGGTCCATATAATGCTTTTAGTAATTATTAATCACAATAACGAGGATGAACAATTACAATGAGATATAAGAATACTTTAGTTTGAATAGAAACCAAAAAACTAAGAATTGTAATGATCAACATTAATTAATATTATTTTATCATTAACAAAACTATTAAAAAATTCTACATATTGTGTGATTTTAATATAAATGTTTACATTTCAGGAAAAACGCATGATGTTATTGGTGAAGCTATATTAAACGAATTAATATCGTCTAGGCCTAAAACACCACCACCACCACCTACTACAACACCATCAGTGACTAACACATTTTGCACCTATTTGATGGAAACAATGAAAGATTTACCTAATAATTTAAATATTCAATTGGAAGAGGATATATTAGCATTGGTGTTTGCTGCAAAAAAAAAGCACCGTTCAAAAGATTAGTACAAGTTTTATTTTTAGTATATGTCTATTAATTTTCTTTTATAACTGTCTCTGTTGGTACTCTAAAGCTCCTGCATGATTAACATATATTTTTAATTTGTCCCTTATTTCTTTGGCATTTGAACTATAATGATTTGAACCTGCACGGTTTATTGGGACTAACCCTTGTAGTTCATCTGTTTGCATGTTGCTTGCACTGCATGATATGGTTTGGTTGTACATGCTTATATCTGTTAACGTAATATTACTATATTATTATTTTTATTAAAATATTATTCCATAATATTTACCTGTGTCTGTTTCTAACTTTTTTATAAAGTTGTGTAAAACAATTGTTGCTTTTGTTATATTTATTATTGTTTTTTCTGAAGCTATTATTGGCTTTCTGAAAATCCTAAATCTTGATGCTAGTATGCCAAAAGCATTTTCAATAGTTCGTCGTGCTCTGCTTAACCTTAGTATTTTTTTTGGAATATTTTATTGGTATAATTTTAATATTTGAAAAGTAATAATTTTTATTAATAATATATCACCACATCTATATTAAGTGTCTCAAAAAACATACTACATAGAAAATTTGCATTCAGTAAATAATATCTACTAACATAAAATCTTAAACATTTCTCTAAAATACTACTCAATTGAAGCTAAAAAAAAAAAAAATTGGTTCTGTTAAAAGCAAATTTAGTATGTTGTACATTAATAATATGTGGGTAAAGTGTATTCTTATAGTAAATGTACCTATAGTTGAAAATGTCTTCATCTTTTGGCATAGTTGATCTTCCACGACCAGGATATGGCCTCATCAAGTATTCGGTAAGTAGAAATGCCTCATCTCCTACCATAAAGTATGGTATTGGTCCATTCACACCATCAATATCTATAGGTTCAGGTAAGTTTATTGTTTTGCCAATATTACTACTTCTGAAAACCCCTCCATCGCTGCATCTTCCCGGAGCCCCAATATCGACCAGCAAAAAATTATAATTGGCGTTACACATAGCCAACAAAACTGTACTATGTGTACCCTTATAGTTGAAGTGGGTAGAACCATCATTTGAAACCGTCATTTGGTTAGTATCTTTAGGTAGGATAAGAAATAAAATAAAAATAATTCACTTGATGAACAATATGTTTTCCATCAATCGTTGCAACACAATGTGGTAAATTCCACTTGTCTTCAAATTCTCTAACCGTTTTTTTCCAATTTAAGACACTTGGAGTTAATAAAACCTTAAAATATTTAATGCTATTTAGTATGTTGCTTAGCTATATATTTTTTGATCATGACTCATGAATCATGTATGTTAAGTACACTTTACATAAATACAGGTACAATTGCCTGTAGATTTTTAAATACTATTCCTACCTTTTTCTCAAGAACCTGCCAAAGGACTGAACAGCATTCACAAATCAATTTTGATATTGTTGAATGACAATACGGAAAGAGTACACCAAAGACATCTCCTGAAGCCAAGTATCTAAATAGGCATATTATTTATAAATAAATAAGTTTTATTTACACGGAAAAGATAAATATAATAAATAAATAAAAATAAAAGTATTATGCAACTCATACATACCTCAATGTACATGATAATATTTCACCAACAACTAAAGTATCCTTTCTAAAACTTGGAAATCTTTTTACATGAGGAACAACCAAACAAACTAGCTCTTCAAATGTTGTTGAGCTCATTCGGATAAAACAGTGCTGAGTTGCTGAGTTGTTGCTCGGACACTAAATTGCTGGAGTCGCCATAAAAAGGACGATCTTGCAGTATCGGTCGCACATGCCATCTTCTTTCAGCACTAGATAATATATTTATATTAAATCAATATAAAATGTATCAAAGACAATACATTTAAAGGTAAAAACTATCATTTTATGCAAAATTAAATGTCTTTCCTTAAACTAATATTTAAAATAATAAGCAACTTCAAGTCATCAATCTCCTAGTTCAATTATAAGTAAGGCTGTTTATGACTTGCATCTTTTTTGAGAACATCTTAAAGGATGCTTTGCCATCTTAAGATTTGCTTTAATAATATATGAAACCTAAATAAGCAATTATTAATTTTGATTTTAGGTTTTAAGATTTTTTTTTAAATTGATTTTTTAATAACTGATAGAAAAAATACAGGATAACTATTTGTCATTATTATATATTTTCTGATAATTGAAGAATTTAATTTTACCTTCTTGTTACAAAAAATACTTAAAATATTTTTAACTGTTAGCTAGATTAAAAACCGTTTTGAAATTCAAATTTAATAGTTCTTTTAAGACCTATTTAGGTTGTTTAAGTATAATTCGGGGGCTAAAATACAGTGTCCTCTGGCACAATTTGTGTCCATTGAAAATCAAAGTGTGTAAATAAAAAATACAAATAAAAGTATTCAGAATACGTATATGAATAATTTTTAAAAAAAGTATTTAAAATAGTATTCGAATACAAAGAAAAATTATACAAATACTTTTATTCGGATACTTTACAAGGCTTCCCCCCCTAATTACGCCTAAGGCCCCCACAGGTTTTATTTTTGTTATAGAAAAGGAAAACTGTCAAAGACCAAAAGTAGCAGTTCAATTAATAAATGTGTGTGGTGTGTCCCCTGAAATCAGATGTAGTCCCCTGAACTATATTTTTTTTTATTTTTAGAGCAATTTTTCGTGTTTTTTTAAGTCAAATTACATTGATGCTGACAACTTGAAAGATGCATTCTCGTTAAACTTACGTTTTTTGTATTTGGCATCTATGCCACACATACAGCAACACAACTTTTCTTCTATATAATGCCATTTCATGGTTATATATTTCATTTTGACGTTTCATTTTCAATCACTTTTACGTATTTTTAAATACGTCTTGAAAATTATTTTTATAATATAAATTAATATACGATGGTCCTCAAAAGGACCGTTTTATAATATACACAATTACGTCAATTACGTGATCTTTCGTATTGAAAATTGTACTAATTAGCACAGGTTTAAACAGTAGGTAATCGTAAAAAACAGTAGTCATTGTCACGTACAATTTTAATTAGTAATAATGACAGTCATGAATTATATTATTTACTAATACCAAGTCAATTTATTTATTTTTCAAAAAGACCGGGCTCTATGGAAAACCAGATACCAAGGTAAACAATATGGTGGTTAACATTGTAACCATAGTTACCAAGCCCACATCTTCAGATCGCACGACACGACACACGACGTAGCTGTGAATGCGCCTTTAGGCGGGTAATAAATTATACCAAGGGGTATGACCACAGATAAACAGAACAGATTATGATAAGAATTTGATAAACGTTTTGCGAACCCCTGGGCTCTCTTATCGTGCATTCGTGGTCTGCAGTCTGCAAGTCTGCAATTTACCGGTCTGCATTTTAGACCAACGCGAGACTAGAAGTATGGACTGAAACACGTGTCACTAAATAAGTAGTAAATAAGAAATTACGAACATAATCTCACTCGACGGTCGACACTCGCATAGTTCATAGGGAAGTAGGTAACAAGTGAACAACGGTTACGACTTTACGTAGTACTGACTACTGTTGTGTCTGTGTGTCTGTAACGGAAATACGAATACGGAATATACAGAGCATGTGATAGGTCCACCGACCACCACTCCATCGCATCGACGGTTATTACTTATTATACTATTGGCAGTTGCAAGTTGCACTCTTCCGCGTTATCACTTTGTACTAAGAGCAATAAGTTCCTCTTGCCATTGTTTATACTTTATGGTTTATGATAATATATTTATATTTACTTACTTAATATAAAATACAATTTTTACATCTTCACAAAAACAAAAAAATTCACAATTGTTCTATAATATTTAAATACCTAATTTCTTAGGAAACGATAATATAATAATATAATGTACAATAATATAGATATAATAATAAATATTTATTTTATTTAATAATTCGTATAATGTTAATTTAGTCTCTTATGTATGTATGAATCAGTGGAAAAGCCACTTTTTGGTTGGCATATTCAAAAATCATACATTTGCACATTATATTTTTTACAGGCCAACTTTCCAAGTGGCTATTTAATTCATTCATTACATATATACATAATTTGGAACTGTGTGAAGGACGCTTATAAAAATCCATAACAGATGTAAAACGATGTCCTAGAATATATATTTGTCCATTCAAAGTATGACATATATTAACAACTTTTATAATATTTTTATCAATCGTTTGTACATAGCAGTCAGCTTTATTATTGATCTTAATCTCAGTATTTTTTAAATATAATATTTTAAACTGTGAAACCGTTTGTAAGTTGAGCAATAAAGGCCCTCCACTATGTTGATTTTTACAATTATATATTTCATTGAATGTATCAAAATGATTTTGTGGTTTGAAATGTGTACATTCCGCATATCGTTTTACCACTTGTTGAAGTGGCTGATTACTTTTTCTAATTAATTTCTTTAATGTGGACATATGATTTTCGAATGGAAAAGCTGAACAATTATCTAACGATCCAAAACGTCTATAATCATCACATATATGTTGAAATGAGTGCACATTGTGTGAAATCCATTCTTTTCCATAAATATCACCAAACTTTCGTACAAAATATATGACTAATTCATTTACAAATTTTAATAAATTTTCACTAATATTTGGAGTTAAAAGAGAAGTCATGATAATATGAAAGCTCAAAAAATGGAAGTAGCACTCTTCACTTATTAATTTTTTTAGCACCACAGGACCTAAGTACAAAACGAAAGTTCTAAACTCTGTAGCCTTCCATCGAGATACTTCATTCACTCCACGCGGCTTTCTTTGGAAATCTATTGTTACGTTAGGTTTCAATATTAACAGAGCAGAACTTAGTAATTTACTTTTTGAACTATTTATTCGTACTTTTAATGGTCCTTTTAGCCATAAGTTAATTAATTTTCTCATTATACCTACGCAGTACGCATACTAAATGCATGTAATCCAAACTAAAACAATTAATTATATCTATTCCTGGAATTTTAAGAAGAATAGACATTTATGTCCTACATGGTGTTCTTCTTGTTGTTTATTGACAAAATTATCATGTGATCTTTTCATAGAAGTTAGTTCAGGAAAACAAACTCTTCGATTTATGTACTCTCCTTCTGCAAAACAACGGTTGCATGAAAAAAAACCACTATATCCTTTTGTTTTAAGTACAAACGATTTAGCTGGAACGTCACAGCAAAATACTTGTAACACAATTTGTGCCTTTTTTAAATTGCCAACATCATCTTTAATTTCTATTCCATTTAAGATTAATTCTGTTAGCTCATTACAAAAATCATATAAAAAATCGTTGCTATTATTTGGTTTGTCTTTACCCCAGTAAATGCCGACCGGAAACACCATTTGAGAATTTGGTATTATGTAGCACAGTATGGGCTAAAATGCGCTACTCGAACTTTTCGTTAAAGGTAATCCATCGATACCAAAAGCTAATTTCAAAATATGATTTTCACTGTTTCCTTTATAGTTGTTTTTGATACCATTACCTATACCAAAATGATAATATTTCCCCGGTAAAATATTTTGTAAAGGAATTGTAGTATGAGATAAATCTGTTTTCATAAGGGTTCTGGCATCAGCCGGTAATGTTGAATCATAGCAACATTTTAAAATGTTTAACAAATCCGAAGTAGCTGCATTTGTAATTTTATGTTTTATAGCCCACCTTGAAATTTGAACATCTGCTGGCTCAAGCATTTCATTAGAAATGTATACATTTCTTTCATGTTGTTCAATATTATCAGTGTTGAAGTTATCGGTGTCAGAAATATCACTACTAGATTCAGAAGTAAAATTATGGTTGATAAATTCTAAAAAAAAGTATAAAAAATGAATTTACATAAGAATAAATACCTACTATAAAAAAAGTGACCTATAGGTATATTTAATTATATTTTAATATTAGAAATATTAACACAGTTTGCCCCAGACATCGAAAAATAACTTTCAAATCGTTAAAAGTGATCATGGTAGACGGTGGGTGCGACTCGTTTGCGCACATTTACCTTTTTTACGGCACGTTTGCGCACAAAATCACAACTCGTTTGCGCACACATATTTTGGGTTTAAATTATAAAGGTACAACTCATTTGCGCACATTTCACTTTGAGCAGAACAGCACATTTCTCTTCTCACTTTAATATAGGCTTAGGACCATCTGTTTTGTACAGATTAAAAATGTGCATGTCGTGTGTGTCTGTTCTGAATAAATATATAATTATACAATTAATAAGAAGTAATAGTGGTTCTTTGCGTGTTTTTAATTTTTAAAATTTTATATTTTTTTATTATTAACTAACCTTACTACATCACTCAAGGAACATTTTTTATTCGTACGCCTAAAATGTGTATCACTAGATTTTAAAGTTCGAAATTCTCTTTCAAAAATATCACAAATAAAATTTCGATATCCATAGTCACTAGTCAGTAGGTAGTACCGCTTTCTGGAGAACGACTGCTTAAAAATATTATGTTTAATACACGTCGATTATTTTCAATGATGATAATGATATATTGAATATTGATATGCTGATGTACTGATAATCAATTACTTAAGTTAGTCCAAATTTAAAAATATAAAATATATGTTATGCAGTGTTTATGTTGTGCGCAAACGAGTCGTCCGTTTTTAGGTTAACGACGGTATTCGTTGTGCGCAAACGAGTCAATAGTCATCGATATCTAGGTAAACAATTTGGATTGTGCGCAAACGAGTTGCACCGGTAGACGGTATAGTGATTTAGGTAAGCATATACCTACATAATAGTTTTACTATTTAGAAAGAAAAACAGTTTTTTGTGATTTTTACGGAGATATAATAGGTATATAAACTTTTTTATATCCATGTATCGAAGGTCGATTATACTACTTATGTAACATATTACATAGTCAATATTATATTTTTTCTAAATATTTTTTTATTATTTTTGAATTAATACATGTTTGATATCGAGAGTATTTTCGGACTCTCGAATGTGAATTGTTCCGAATTATGAACGATTCGTGGTTTCCTTATGAGAATTATTACCAGGGGAAAATATCAGTAGGTAATAAAATAACTGATAGGCTCGGATTTCGATGCATTTTTCATCTTTTTTTCTGGAATGATTGACCCGATGCTTTCCAAGATATATTGATATAGTAGATACAATAACGTATTTCAAGAATAATATCGCGGTTGCCAAAACAATACTACGTACCTCCAAAATGTAATTTTTTCAGGAGACACAAAAAACTAATTATTAAATCAAATTTTGGGAAAAGGTTAACCTCAATACCTCATATTTAATTATTCTATCAAAATTATGTTTAAAAAAATAATTTATAATTTATAACCTGGAGATACTACGATATATTTTGACAATAATAATATTGATAATTGATATACGTGATATGTTTCACCACTTATATTCTCTTTGGCTTTTGTGTATTATATACGTTGTTTTTACAATAAATATGTGTTTTTTTTTCTGAACAATTTGATGTATATAACTAATTTTTTTTTTTTTTTTGGAGATACTATTAATAGTATTGTTTTAGCAACGACGATAATATATACAACAATAATAACCATTTTAGAACATTTTCAATATTTTTAGGACATAATTAATTCCGAGCAAGTCCGAGTTAGTCGTTTTATATAAGTATATACTCCGTTCCACGAGAGTCCATAATTATGTCAAAACACGTCCGTCGCTGTGCATCGATTCCCCTTCCATACGCCGGCAACGATCGGCGACAGCCGTCGTGCATACGGAGCGACTGCAGCAAACCGTTTGTTTACGTAATATTATGATAATTCATTAGCAATTCATTAGCAGTGTTTTTATGACTGTTGAAAGTGAAGCTTGACGGACTAATGATGTTAGCATTAATATAATAAGTAATAACACGACAATATGATTATGTATAAGTATAATATATAATAACGTACAACTGGACAATTAAACTGTGACTATACACACACATCGTATACGCTCTGTATGACAGCGTCTGTGCAAGTGAATATTACATACATCAAAGGCCCTATATATATGCACGACCGAGGTCATGTTACATCCGTAAAGAGAGTGAGTCTTATGCTCGTACATAACTAGTTACTATATTGTACACACGTGTCAAGGCTGACTACATATACTACATATTAATTGTATATTTCAACAATGACCCGCTGTATTCACGTTGCTGAGTGGTGGGGACGGCACTATGGATGGAGAAAATTCGGCCGGCAGTCGTCATCGCGATCGTCAGTCTCGATGCGCGTATATAAGGACTCTCGTGGAACGGAGTATACCTAATGTTATTTCAATCAAGTAAAAATAATAATAATTATGGTACTTATATCATCATTATTCATAATAATCAACAATAATAGACATCGTAATCAACGTCGTATAATTATTTACGTTGTGATTCCGGGAAAAATATAAATACCTATACTAAAAATAAACAAAAATAAAAACCAAAATATATATCTTTGGATTCTTAAAACAGTACCTATATTATTGTTTGCTATACTACCGCTACAATAATCCCCTATAGACACCGTGCAGCCGCTGGAAAACAGCGCACCGTAGTGGTGAATGCACGCAACTTTTGTATGATAATTAAATGTTATCATTAATTGTTATGTTTTTCATAAGCACTAGTCAGTCACTATACTCACTGTCACTATGAAATATATCAATGGGTGGATTATAAGTGGTTTATAAATTGTTTGACTATTTAATATTTATATTTTATTAATTCAGTTTGTTAAGTTTGTTTTTAATTGTATCTACTGTTTACTGTTATACACATAGTGCCTACTTACCTGAAAATATTATATTACACACATACTTTAATAGATTTGAGATTTCTACTACATAATGATTCAACCAGATATCATCTTTAACTGTGGCTTTAGAACCATTACATACAACTGTGAATTTAAAAATAATAAAGGCGTTAAGTTGTTCGAAAGTGGTCATGTGCACACAGTATCTGAAGTACAACAGCCAAATGGATATGGTACCATCAATGGTTATGTTATTAGGCAGACATCAGTCACTCTACCACCTTATAAAGTTACATTTGAAGTAGGTACAAAAATCAAATGTAAAAAAGTAACTAGTCTAATTCTTCAATTGTATTTATAGATAGATCCCTTTAGGAATGTAACTCATTGTTTTTGCGAATGTCCTGCTGGAGCTGGGAATAAGTGTAAGCACATTGCTGCACTTGTTTATTATATAAATAATGAAGAGAGTAATTCAAAAACAAATGTAGAACAAGAATGGGGAAAGCCTTCAAAATCAGGGGAAGCCAAGTACAAAAAAGGCAGAACCATCGAATATCTATATCCTAAAAAGAAACAACATTATTCTAAATCTGAAAGTAATACAACTAACAGAACTATTAGTCATAAGGCACTTGTGAATGAATGTAAAATATTAGAAATTCCTTGTATTCTCAGTAAAATGATTGAAAAAGAAATACAAAGTGAGGCTGATATTGAGTGTCAGAGATGTTTATTAGATTTGTTAAATGAGGTGGAAAAGTCAGTAGACATTGATTTTTTAAACTTTATTCTCACCAAACAAAATGCATATGATATTGCCTTACCACCAATGATAGGTTCTTACTTTCCATTAAATTTAAATGAAAATAAATTTTATATGAATAATATTGTAGTTGATTTAAAACAAATTATAAACATATTTAACGAGACTAAAATGCAGTCTGAGAGTAACAAATGGAAAGAAGTTCGAAAAAATAGAATCTCAGCTAGCGTTAAAGCACATAAGATAAAAACTTGCAAAAATTTATCGGTTGAAAATCAAGAAAGGTTAGCAGAGACTTTACTAACAGAAAAAGAATTGGGTTATCATGGACAAATTAATGTGTCTTATGGTAACAAGTATGAAAGTGAAGCAATCATGTTTTATAGCAAAATGTTTAGTAATATAATTATTCTGAAGTGTGGAGTAATTGTTCATTCACAAAGGCCATGGCTTTGTGCAAGTCCTGATGGTCTTGTTATTGAAAACAAAGTTCCTATAAAAATTTTAGAAGTTAAATGTCCAATATCATGCCAAAATAAACCTATATTTGATCTAAAACAAAAAAAATGTAATTTGCCTTACTTAGAATATAAGAATAATAAATTTTTTTTAAAAACAACACATCAATATTATACTCAGTGCCAAATTTTAATGTATTGCACTGGTATAAGTCATTGTGATTTATTGGTGTACAATAAGATAGACCCACTAGTGATTACAATTGAGAAGAATATTTTATTTTTACAAACCATTTTAAAAAGACTGGAATATTTTTATTTTCATTTTTTCTTACCAAGATGTTTGCTTGAATAAAGATTTTATTAAGTTGTTCGTTGATTTATAAAACCTATTGTACCTGTTGAACATTCAATATTATATAAATAAGATACACTTGTTGTTGTGTTACATAGTTTTTAATATTAATAATAATATTTTACATTGTAATAGTTTTAAAGAATTTGTTAATTAAGAATTATAATATGATTTAAAAATAAATGTTACATTGTTAATCTTTAATTATAGGGTTTTGTAAATTAATTAACACACAACATATATGCATAATATCATCAACTTGGGGTAACAAATCTATAGTTATTTTATTTAAAATTCCCAAAGTTTTTAATTTGGCAAAAACCCTTTCAATGTGGATTCTCACACTAGCAATATTGTATGTTTCAACTACTTCATTTTCACTAAATCTCCCATTATGAAGAAAAGGAGGCATTATTAAAATACTGTTTTTATTTTCACAAGAGACCTTAATACCTGGAAAACCTTTATCTGCCAAAACTTCATCTCCTTTTTCAAGTTTTGATAAAAAACCACAGTCATTGGTGATAAATGTGTCGCTTGCTCTACCCCCATAACATTTTGATAAAAATGAAATTAAACCACTAGGAGTAATTGCTACTAGAGTTTTTACTGTGTAAGCATTTTTATACCTTGAATACATGTTAACTCTTTGCTCAACTGTACTTGGTTGCTCAGTTTTTATGTTTTCTGTACAATCAATAATACAGCGGCAGTTAGGATAATTTTGCTTAAAAGCTCTTGGTAAAGTATCTAAAATTGATTTTTTGTTGGGCCAAAAGATAAAATGTTTTGTTTTGCTAACTAAAGAATTTAGAACAGAATAAAATATTCTTGACACAGTCGTACGATTAATATTAAATAATACTCCAATAGCTGAATATGATATACCCAATATAATTTTGATAAGAAAAATCATTAATCTATTTTCTTTACTCACAGTACTATAACAAGAATCAGAGATAAATGAAAGTAGCAAGTTAAAAACTTTAAATGTAGTACTGGTTAAGTCTTTTAATTGTGACTCGTTAGTTATAGAATGATATCCTAAAAAAGAATTCATGTTTAAACAAGATACATTTGGACCACAAGCAATGTCTTTAGTATTAGAAATTTTAGAAATATTATTTAATAATGGGATATTTGCTTGAGTTCCAACATCATTATTCAATTTATTAAATTCGCATTCAAATTTAAAGGGATTTGTATTGTTAAAATCAAACATAACTTGAATTCCCACATTAGAGACACAGTTCAAGCTTTCACACTGAAGTGGTTCTATGATTTCTACTTCTGAAGACTTGTCATCATTTATCATCATTTTTAACTTTTTGTCTTGACGGTTTGATGTTCGTATATACCTATCACTCAGCTGTTTAATATTAACTTGTTTCTTTTTGTACACTTCAGGAAACAATGATGGTATGTATGAAGGGCTATTGGAGTCATTTGAGCGTTTATTACCAACAAAATGTTCACTGCAGATAACAGAATGAGGCTTAGGATACCACAATTGACCATTATTGCTAAAACCAAATTTACAGAGTTCAATTTTCATGCATTATCCGCAAACAAATTAAATACATTATGCTTTTATTTAGCTTACTCTAAACGTTTAACTGCATAAATCCATTGCTTCTTTAATTCACTTTGGTAAGGCTTGTTTGGAAAATTATAAAACTTAACATTTGTAGTGTTTTTATAAGTATTACTACAGTTAACAACACAGCAGATTTTACTCATTTTAAACAACAACTAGGAAATAAATATAAAAATGTATAGAAAATAGAAATACAGTCAATAAATACAAATAATTAAAAATTGGTATTACTATTTAAAAATGTTTTAATTATTAATGAAAATTAATATTATAGGTACGTACCATAATATTATAGTATATTACTATATTACTTATAGTATAATATCCGTATCAATGATCATACAAAAATTGCATGCGTACACTACCGGGAGCGCTAGTGTATATCTGCACGGTGTCTATAATAAATGTAACGTTATTAGCCCATCGCTCGTCACCTAATCAAAAATATGAATCAAAATGAACACTTTGTTTTTTGTCGCAATACCGGCGTTATGCACATTGTACTATTATTAAAATTAAAATTTTACAAAATATACCTATAGGTAATAATATATAATATGATAATCATATCTATATATATATATATATATATATAGATACATACCATTAATAATTGATGCATGCTGAATATTTAATGGCTCGATGTGATCTGATGAATTATTGCTCAAATCGCCTATTTCATATACGTCATCATCATCATCATTACTGCTAGTTATTATTGAATCATTATTTCGACTACCTATCCAAAACATTTTCCAATTCTTCTAAAACTCTTCGTCGCTTAGTTGCCTTACTTAATGGTCTCATTATAATTTAATTTTAATAAAAAAAAACTGTATGAATTAGGTATTGAATAAATTTAAATAAAATATGCTTTTTCAAATACAGTGAAATATATATATAGGTACCGCAAAAAAATAAAATAATAACTGAACAGACGTCGATTGCGTGGTTTTGTCGAATTCGCTGTAATAATATCTTTCTCACTAAAGTTTAATCGTTACGCTCGTAAATTGTGATAATTGACAAATGTGCGCGATAGCGAATGGATACCTAGTATACCTACAGATATTTTTAGATTATTTACTGTACTTTTGGGGGACTGGTTAAAAATTGTTCGCAGGCTGGATGCTGAGGGCCATATATAGCTATATAGATCATCGACCACATGTATATACGCTGTCAGGTAATATTTGATCATCCGCCCAATCACCTTATTTCTGCAGCTATATTACTATAGATTGTATAAGCAAAACAAAAATAATAAAATTACTTATATTAATAATTTAGGTATAATATATAATACTACCTATAACTCATATATATTATTAATTTTAATATATTATTATAATAGATAGGATAGTATTATATATGGCATAACCTAATATTTAACCTATAATATAATACACATAGTTATAAAAAAAGTACCTAATGAGCATATTATAATATTATTACTGCAATATAATTATATTATAATAATATATAAATGCCCCTATATATAGATGTCACTATTATTTATTATTATTTAATGTAATTTTCATAATGTTTGTTATTTCTTGGAATTTTATCTTTAATTCAATTTAAACCTAAATACAATATTAAAATCGCAATGGAATTAAAAGTTGTTATTTAAAAACCTTTGCAATATTACAAAATACGTTCGTTTTTAATACTATGAGCAAAATGCTTCAGCAACGCTTTGGCAATATTGTATATTTAATATTTAAAAATTAATGGTAATTAAATTTAAACGCAATATTTCATATTTAAAAATGTTATCTGGGTTGTTGGACTGCTACTAAGACATAGGGGAAATTCGACAACCTCTACATGCTTCTCTCTTGATGCGGATTTTGTAATGTATTTTTATCAAATGTCAAACATGCATTTAAACTGGCTACGACTCGCACACTATGTGGTAAATTATTTAGAATTATTTATGTACTCTAAAAATATATCAGCAGATATTTGTATGCAATTGTATTATTTCAGAAACATTATACTAGAAATGACTTCATCAATGCAGATGTAGCAGAAACACAACAAAACGATTCATCATTGTATCAATACTGATTACTAATTTGCAACCACGGACTAAGATAGAATGGACTGGTAACGGTAGGGACGGCGAGGTGGTGGGGTCTGATCCCCAAATGTTTCTGTCCCGCTACACTGCGCATCTATCACAAGTACACTATGTTCAACGCTATCTAGTGATAATAATATACGATAGAAAAGTAAATAGTGACTAATGAATAGAAAAATAAAATTGTTACGATTATTTCTCCATAGATGGCGCTGAATGTAGTGTACTCTGGTACCCAGGGACGGCGCTAGGGCCCAGGGCAAAACAAATAACAGTCTATATATGGTCTTCTGAAAGCTATATAGGTACACAAACGTTTTTTCTCTTAACTCCGCTCGAAAACTAGATTACATATTATCCAAACTAACTCGGTACTTAATAAATCAATTTTATAAAATGTCAACCATAAATTTATAAATAATATTATTATATTATATTTTAATAAATTATTATGAAATAATTTTAAAATGTTATCAATATAACAGAAAATAAACACATTTAACACAATATTTAAATATCATAATTTAATACTTAAATTATGAAATTATTAATTAAACATTCACTCACTGTTCTCATACCTATTATACCACGCTTAGATATTGTAGTTACTACGCAACTGTCAAAATCATCTCAAAAATCATTATATCTAGTATAACATTTTATATTAATTACAAATAAAATAATATAAAATAGATTGAAATTAAATACGTTATAATAATATAATAATATATAAATAATTATTATTATTCATTTTATAAATTATTATCGGACTGTAGTGATAAAACCTAAGGTTAACACGCTCAAGGTGATTCTAGGAATCACACAGAATAGACATTAACATAGTATCGGCGGATGTGCGGTATAAACGTATATATATTACAAATAGTAAAACTAGATCGATATAATAGGTATATCACATATTATGTGATATTGTAATACGCAGAATAGACTAGGACTGTTGAAAATGCGGTCAAAAAGGGTTAAGAGTTTAGACCACACTCGGGAAAAACAGGATAATGCGTTAATAGGCAAGGGGAGCGGGGATAGGACTATATAAGAGAGATCCCGAAACGGCCTGTTATCAGACGTGTCCACCAAGTTCTAGAGGGAGCAAATTCACGTTACTTTGTGTAATTACATTGTCAAATTAGACTTAGCACAATTTACAGAAGAACATTTTTAAGAAACCAAACTATATTACACTTGTCTACGATTATTTCAACAAACACCTTTATCTTCATCAACATTACGGTCTTCCTACCTGCATCTTTAATATTTAAGTAGTCATCAGACTACCAGAATATTGCAATATGATGTATTAACCATTAATGTATGCTTCTATGCTAGTATAATATAAGTTAAGAATAAATATCATTAATATGACAATAGCTGTATATTATCTATATTGTCCTAAAATGAAAGGACACAAATATGAATTAGGTACAATTACCTGAATTGAATACAAAATTATTCATCAATTCTTTATATTTTTTTAATTCATTGTTTTGAACATTTTTCTCCGTCTTTTAGATACCTATGCATCACTTTCAAATTGTCTGATAGACATGTTTTTTTTTTCAAAAGTCAATAAAAGATAGTGTAGGTAGGTAGTAGGTACCTAATTTATATTTTTCATAAGCAAATGAAAAATTAATATAATAGAGTTTGTAGAGTAGTTTTAAAAAATAAAACCGACAAAAGTACAAAATAACATATCTGAAACCAATAACATTGCATCAAGGTATGTCCGTAAATTATAATCCGTTTATATTTTAGTTACCATCTCAATTATAAGACTTTTTCACTAATATAGTAGGTACCCGATACCTATTTAGGGGGCGTTCATGGGGTGTATTATATCGAAAAAAATGACTTTACGGGAATAACTCTCAAGCTTTGTAGAATTGACGGATTTTGATGACTATTTTTTTATCTGAAAGAAGAAGACTTCCTATAGCTCTCACCGATCTCTGATTTTGTATTTTATTTCAAATAATTGTAAAAAAAATTTGTTAAAAAATGTTTTTTATCTTGTATTTTTTTAGACATATTATTAAGTTTGAGAATAAAACATTGAAAAACAGAGATCGATGCGGGCTGTACAATATTTCCTCCTAAAAATTAAAAAAAAAAAAATTATGAAACTTCGTTGATTCTACAAGGCGGTATCGTTATCCCCACAGTGTATTTTTGATGACAAAATGGCATCGCTACCGGGTTATCTATCTTATTGGTTTGTCCAGCAAGATACTGCACTATAGCGCGACTGAGCTAGCCTCTGAGGTTAAATAAATAGTACGAATATACGAAAATTTAGGACTTCAACCTGAAGCCTGCTCTAATACAACCTTGGTCTTGAGGCCCCGATGAAATACAACCCCTGCGGCCTGCACCCCCTCTAAATCCGGCATTGGACTGTCGTCTAAAAATAACGAATCAAGGAATAAAGAATTATTTTAGCAGAAAAAAAAATTAATACGAATTATGATTTCAATAAATACAATTTTGGAAATTCAGTAAAATCTCTGAACAGTATAAATCATTTCAGAACTGCGGGGCCTTAACTATAATTTTAAAATCGTGGGGCCCGGGGCAACTGCCCCGACTGCCCCCCCCCCTCGCGCCGTCCCTGCTGGTACCTTGTCTAGAGAAACATTTGTGTCACACTGATAAGACATTCAATATCAGTCCATTCTATCTTAGTCCGTGTTTGCAACTAAACCATACTCTGATAATCATAAGAATTACTACAGCTAACACTTAATTATTATTCATTGTTAATTTGTAACTGATGTAGCACATACACACACATATATATATATATATGTATATACACTTAAATTGATTAATAGTAAGTTTCATACACAATTTATTATAATTTCAAAAGCATATATTATCTACTATAACCAAGGTTTGTAAGAAATTTTCAATTTTGTTGTATGTACAATATGTTTCATTTCTACGTATTGCAGTCGACGCATGATTCAATTAAATTTTTTTAAACATCATTAAACTACACTATATTGTATGTTTGAATTTGTATTGCTTAACAATGTC